GGAAAAAGAGAAAGAAGAAGCAACAGCCAATAACTGCATTTTCAATGAGATAGCTTCCTTCTGAAAACAGCAGAAAACCAAAAAACTGATACCATCCAAAAGCAAATAAAGTGAATGAAGGAAAAAGTGTAGCAAGAGGGAAAAACAGGCATAAAGACTTGAAAAAAAAGCATAAATAAAAAGTTGAGGTCAATAATTTATCAAGCCTAAGTCCAAGTACAAAAGCAAAAAAGATCCAAGTATTAGGCGATAGATTTAAAAGAAGAAGAGGCTCTACTGCAGGGAAGAGGAAAATGAATTCCCCCAAATACAAACTTTTGTTTATACAGATATTTAATATTTTTGAGTGGTTTCTGAGGAGCTTCTTAGCCAGAGGAATCAGGTTAGCATCTTATTCACACCTTCGGTTAAATCAGACTGAAGCAATTAAAGAAGATAGATATCACCAAAGCTGATTCATGACAGTGTTTCAGTCTGACCTTCTCTTTAGAAGGGAATGTTTTAATCATAATGAGAAAAACAGCAATGAGAGATGCTGTGTTGGGCAAGATTTTGGTAGTGGTGGGTCTACAGGGGTGGCTTCTCTGAGAAGCTGCTAGAAGGCTCCTGCATGTCTGACAGACAAAGCCAATGGAAGCCAGTTTCAAAATAGACCAGCCACTGGCCAAGTCTGATTTATTTTTAACTGTCCAAGAAAAATTCACATTCAGAATTGCAAATCCCAGACTATCTCCAAGTATTTCAGACTTGACTGACCCTCTAGACAGAGAGAATACGTTCTCTTAGTTCAGACTAGGATATCAGGGGTTGGGAATGGTTAGTTCTTACAGGTAGTCCCAATCTAACTCTAGTTCTCTGGAGCAGAATGCTTGAGGCATGCTTGCAAGCTGACTGGGCTTGGGAGATAGCTGCCCTTGAAAGAGCTATGACCCCTGCATTGGCTGGTTGTATTTTTGGAGGGTTGCTGCAAATTTCCTGATGCTTCCCTGAAGCTCTCTCATCTGCCTAATTGGCTGTTGGGTTGGTGATATGTAAATTCCAGCATTGTATAAATTCCACATGCTGTCAAATTGCTTTTTTTTAATCGATTTAAAAACCCTCTGTGATTATCCACAATCTAATTTAATTTTTGGATGTCTTTTCCCATGGCTGTTCTTTCTATTTTCTCTGTTTTTCAATATTAATTGAAACTGCATACTTTGATATTCAGCAGAGTTGTTTCTTCTTTTCTCACTTGTCTGTAATATCAGAATTTCTGCTGTATGTGGATATTGCCCTGGATCTTTTCTTTTCAGTTGCAGTTTTGTACAGCTCCCACAGATGTATTTGCCTAGCTCAGGTTACCTCCTTATTACTTTAATTTCTTTCCTTACATGTTCCTGTGTTTTCTTCCTAATAATAGGGCCTACTCCACAATATTTGGTCACCATTTATCTGCTTATTTTATTTCTTCCTTTTTTTTAGTCAACAAGTCTTGCTGTAGATGTTGCCCTGTTTGGTGGTTCAAACATTGTGGCATAGCTCTGTTTGTCAGCCTAGCTAGGGCATGACATGCTGTTCCACCTGTTGGAAAAATATCCATAGAGATCCTCAACCTTAAACTCTTTGTGTTTCAGCTATTTTTCACCCTTGCATGTGCAGATATGTTTACATAGTCTTCTGCACAAGTCCTTTTTTGCTGATGCCATATGTACCCATGTGGTTCAAACATTGTGGCATAGCTCTGTTTGTCAGCCTAGCTAGGGCATGACATGCTGTTCCACCTGTTGGAAAAATATCCATAGAGATCCTCAACCTTAAACTCTTTGTGTTTCAGCTATTTTTCACCCTTGCATGTGCAGATATGTTTACATAGTCTTCTGCACAAGTCCTTTTTTGCTGATGCCATATGTACCCATCTGTGTTGGGGTCCTTGCGAGGGACGGACTACAGCACAATACGATAATGCTCTGATAGTCAACTTTATTTAGGGCACCTAACAGTATTTATAGTAAAATGCCTCCCATACATGCAGCTATGCACTGATCACACAACTTTGGATTGGTTGCTTAACCTGTCTATGTGTGCAGTTCTTATTTATGATAGGTTTCAAGTTTAAGCTGCATCTTGCTCTCACATCCTGGGAAACTGATAACGAGCTACACAGTGTCTATGAGAACCTAAACAACAGCACTATTCTCAGCTTGTTAGCAAAATGACTTATCTTATCTATAAGGCAGTAAAACCAAAACTAAACCTAAAAACCCCTGGCAGCAGGAGAGAACAGGACCATTATAAGGTGTTGGATAGAAAACACAGGAATGCATGAAGATAGAAACAAGGTCAGCAAGCAAGACCTATTTTGTGTGTCTTGTTTTTATTTGCTTAAGCATTCCTTTAACTGTTGCTGAAGTTACAGCTCCTCTGCTAGCCAGGCCCCAACACATCTAGAAGCCAGCACTTTGGGAAGCATTTAGCCACATTTAGTCCAGTGCTGTGCTAAATCTATAAAAGCCTTTTGAGAAGTGAGGAATATTGATCAAGGGACAGCACTATTTTGCCATAATGGTGTATCATTTGGATCCTTCCTGGCATGTATCTGGATGGTTCAATAGGAGTAGTTTTACCTTGTGCTTGCCTTCCTGGAAAAGACTATCATAAATGTGGAGCTGTTGCATATTTCAGGTGAAACTATGCATCTCCTTTTGTCCAAATGCCTCTTAAGCACTGACAGGCTTGGGGCTTCAACCATCTCACTAGGAAACCTGTTCCACTGCATGACCACCTTCTCAGTAAAGAAATGCTTCCTAATGTGCAGTCTGAACCTTCTCCAGAACTGCTTTGAATCATTCCTACGTGTTCTATCACTGGATACCAGAGAGAATAGATCAGCAGCTCCCTGTCCATTTTCCCTTCTCGGAAAGCTGTAGAGAGCAATGATGTTGCCCCTTCAGTAGTTATGGTGGTATTTTTTTATTTTTACACCTTGCTAGTTTGCTTGTCTCTGGTCAGGACAGCACATCAAACAGAAGTTTCCAAGAGCTGTTGATGGTGTCTCCTACTGTATTTTCTCTTGCAGTTTTCTTTTATCTAGACTGTATCTATTGGCAAAATCAGCAAAAGTTACTTACTTTGATAAGCTGTTCATCAAACTGCAGTTTTTCACCATGATAGTACCTGTTCATTTAGTTTTATAGAATACCTACAAGCTCCTTGGATTTTCTTTAAACTGTGTGTCAAGTCTACAGTCTTCTGGTTCAAATCTTTTCCTGAGACACAGTCAAGCTTATTAGACAGCATCATATCTAAACCAGAAAATTGAGACACTTTGCTTTGTTAACATTTTACCTTTTCTTAACATTAATCATTGTATTCCAGCTCTTTATTTATTGCTCTGTTTAGCCAACTTGCAATCCCACTTCATGGCTGCTTAATTTCAGAGCTCTATTGTGTTACAGGCTTCTGTCAGAGGCCTATTCAAACATAAAAATTATTGGGGGTTTTGGTTTTTTTGGGAGTTTTCTGTATTTATTACCTCACAGTCTTCATAAAGAGTTGTGATGGATTCACAAGGCATAATTGTCGTTAGAGAAACCATATTGAATTATGCCTAAAGGTTTATCTTAGCATTTGGACAACACTCAAGCACACACTGTGACTATTTTGGGGTTGACCTGTGCAGAGTCGGGAGCTGGACTTGATAATGTAGGTCCCTTCCAACTCAGGATATTTTATGATTCTATAATTTGAGTTATTTTGTAA